AACACCGTGTCACGGTGCATTCGTGCATCAGTACACCGAAGAAATACATACATATTGTTGCGGACGACTATTGTAGACTGTGTTCGTGTAGTCTTCGAGTTTGTGGACAGTTAAAGTCGTGTGTGAATTTATTCAAGCCAGGAAAAGCAGGAGGGATAACTTATGGAAATCGTCTTTCCAATTTGATCCAGTGCGACGTTGTGAAAGGAGCGACTCTGTCGTCTCATCTATGTCTAGTTTGTAAGAGAAAGATTGATAGCGCAGAAAAATCCGCCAATAATGTAAAACAGTGGCGTGAAATTGTCAGTCATTCTAATATCTCCCAACCTGTGAACGAAAGGGTTAAGCGTGCTGCCTTGAAATCGCCTGCCAAAACTAAAATGGCGCGTGTCATGTGACTTTGTTTACTAAAGATAGCGTGGGCGTTTGATTGACACTCAACTTATTAGTATTCCACCAATCACAGCTACATCTACTTTCTGGATGTGCGCAGTCAAATTGTATAGGAGACAAGCTGGAGTCTCGTGTGGCGATAGCGATAACACCGAGACGAATGGTCTGGGGTAGTTTTATAATAAATACCGATACGGATTTTAATGGAACAACAATCTTCTTTCTCTGTAGTAATATCTGTATTTCAAGTCAAGATGATGTCATTCGTAATTACCATACTATTTGGAGTGATGCTTCTACTTATTATGACTGCATTTTATCTTTATTACATCAATCCACAAATAATTCATTGGATGTTTACACGGTATTGTTGAATTAGATATTTTCACATATGGTTTTAATTTCATTCTCTGATATTTTAGGTTTTATTTATTTCATAATATAGCACTCCATGTTTCAACTAACCTAACATTGGCACTACTCATAGCAATCTAATCTAATTAAAGGGCAGTGGTCTTTGTGCTGCACATGTGCAAGATATGGGTCTCATATAAACAAAGATGGTGATTTTGACTGTTTTGCACACTAACTGGTGTAAACTGACAGGTTACAAGGCTTTAATTAGGCATTTTTTTTGTGTTTGGAAGGTATTGAAGGAGTCAGCGACGGTAATTAGTGCAAGTGGCACCCAGGGCAAAACTTGTAAACGTGATTTCATTAGAAAGGCGCATTGGATTATGGGAAAATCAATGTTTATCGACTCAAATGTTGCACATTCACGGTGCGGCCACTATATTTTATGTTTGTATACTGCGTCTGGTATACACCGCCACTAGCTG